GTTTACATTGTAACTTTTTTCTCTCACTGTTTTCAGTACTCTCTCCTTATCATTAACTTTTGTCATTTTAATCATATGTCTTGATGTTGTCTTCTTCAGGTTCCTTTTGTTAGGGGACTCTGTGCTTCCATGACCTGAGTGTCTTATTTCCCTATCTAATCCCTAATTTTGATACTGAGGCACATTCTAATTCTTTGAGTCTCTACTATGAAACGTTTGTTAATTTTGTCAATGGTTTTTCCATGTACACTGAGATGACAGTATGATTTTTTGGTCTTGTGTTAAAGAAGTATCATACATTTATTGTTTTCTTTTTGTGATGAACCGTTGTTGCATTCCAGGAATAAATCCCACTTGATCACCATTTGTAATTAATTTCCTGTGCTGTTGAATTTGATTTGCTAGTATTTTGTTGAATTTTTAAATATCTGTTCACCAGGGATGTTGGCCTGTAAATTTTCTTATAGTGTACTTGCCTGGCTTGGTTATCAGTTTAATGCCTCAAATGAGTTTGGAAATATTCCTGCCTCTTAAAATTTTTGGAAGAGTTTGTGAGTGATGATGTTAATTATTCTTAAAATGTTGATAGGATTCATCAGTGTATCTGTTTGTGGCCTTTTCTTTCTTGGGAAAAATTTTAAATTATTGATTTCAATCTCCTGACTTGTTATTGAGCTATTCAGATTTTCTATTTCTTCATGACTTAGTAGTGTTGGTAAGTTGCATATGTTTCAAGGAATTTATTTCTTCGAAGCTGTTCTAATTTGTTGGTGTATTTCATAACAGTTTTTTTTATGATCCCTTGCATTTCAAAGCTATCAGTTGTAATCTCTCCTCATTACTCTGATTTATTAGAGTCTTTCCTCTATTCTAAGTTATTCTAGCAAATAAAGGTGTGTTAATTTTGTTTCTATTTTTAAAACTATCTGTTAGTACTGTGGACCTTTTTGTTTTTCTAGCTTGTATTTCATTTATTTCTGCTCTGCTCTTTATTTTTTTCCTCATTGTTCTGCTTAGTGTGTTGTTTTTCTATTTCCCCAAGGTATAAATTTAAAGCTAGGTTGTTTATTTGAGATGTTTCTCATTTTCTTAGCACCAACATTAGAACTGCTTTTGCACATTCCGTATTTTCTTTTTTCAATTTCATTTGCCTCAAGTTATTCAAAATTTTCCTTTTTATTTTTCCTTTGATTGACTGGTCAAGGGTATGTTGTTGAATGTCCACATATTTGTGAGTTTTTCAGTTTGTCTCATTACACTAATCTCTAGTTTTATTCATTGTGTTAGGGAGAGGTCCCTGGTATAGAAGTGTTTGATGTAACACATGTTCTAGCATAGAGAATACTGTGTGTGCCCTTGAGAATGTGTATTCTGCTATAGTAGGATGAAATGTTCTGTATATGTCTGTTAGGTCTACTTGGACTAAAGTATAATGCAATGAAGATATATTCTTAGTAATTTTCTGTCTGGATAGCCACCCATTGTTGAAAGGGAGATATTGAAGTTCCCCATTAATATTAATATTGTGTTTTGTCTTTCCTGCCTTCTGATCTGGTCATATTTGCTTAATACTTTAGTTGGTCTGATGTGAGGTGTGTATAAACATGTGTTACATCTTTTTGATGAATCATCTTTATCATTATATAATTATCTTTTCTGTCGCAGCAGTTTTTTACCTAGAGTCTCTTCTGTCTCATGGAAATATAGCTATGCCTGCTCTCTTTTAGTATCCGTTTGCCTGGAATACCTCTTTCAATCCTTTCACTTTCAGCCTGTGTGTGTCCTTAAAGCTGAAGTTACTCTATTGTTGGCAGCATATAGTTTGGTCTTATTTTGGGGGTTTTAGTTTTTTTTTCCATTCTGCCACTATACAGCTTCGGATTGTAGAATTTTATTAGCACCTAGTATTGCCATCTTGTTAAATATTGTCTATTTTATAATTCCTTTGTTCCTTTCTTCCTCTCATTGTCTTATTTTGTGATCTGATGATTTTCTATGCCGTTAGGTCACTCATTTCTGCTTATCTTCTGTGTATCTACTGTAGGTTTTTGTTTTGTGGTTACCATTGAGGCTTGCATAAAATATTGTAGTTAGTACATTCTATTTTAAGCTGGTACACACATTTCTTTTTGTCACATTTTATATATTGTGTTAAGCCTTGAGTTATTATGGGTACAGTTATATTCTTATATGTATTTATATAATTTTTAAAATCCTTTATACTATCATTGCATGATTATGATAGTATTTCTGTATCAGAGTACAGTAGATCCCCTTTAACTGTGGGAAATACATTCCAAGACTCCCAGTGATTGCCTGAAACTGTAGGTAGTACTGAATCCTATGTATACTGTTTTTTTCCTATACATACATAGTTATGATAAAGTTTAACTTCTAAATTAGACACAGTAAGAGATTGGCAACAATAATTAAAAGTAAAACTAAACAAATATACCATGGTAACAGTTATGTAAATGTGGTCTCTCAGATGTTTTACTGTACTGTACTCATCCCTATGATGAGAGAGAACGTGACTGATGAGATGAAGTGAGGTGAATGATGGCATTGGGATGAAGCAGTAGGATACTGTTGGCCTTCTGGTGTATCATTCTGTCAGCCTGTTTCTGGGCCATGACTGAGCATAGGTAACTGTAACCATGGAAAGTGAAACTGTGTAAGAGGGGACTACAATGCTCTGAATTTGACTGTGCTTAACTTTACCAGTGTTTTTTATGTTTTTATGATTTCATGTTATAATTAGTGTACTTTTCAGCTTGAAGAAATTCTTTTAGCATTTGTAGGATTGGTCAAGTGATGAATTCCCTCAGCTTCTGTTTGGGAAAGTCTCCTTCATTTCTTTAGGATAGCTTTGTTGAAGTAGTCTTGATCTGTGGTTTTTTTCTTTGGCATTTAGAATATGTCTCCCACTCTCTCCTTTTATGCAGTGTTTCAGCTAAGAAAACTCAAATTTTTATGAAGTTCCCTTTGTATAATATGAGATTCTTTTGTCTTGTGCAGCTTTTCAAATTTTTCTGACATTGCTGCTTGAGATTTATTGCATCTAGTTTTTTGTTGATTGCATCTGCTTGGGGACTAAGGAACTCATGTGACTGGATATCTACTTCCTTCCCCAGATTTAAAGTTTTCATCCATTATTTCTTTAAATAAGTTTCTGCCCCTTTCCCTGTTCTTCTAGGGCTCACGTAATGCAAATACTCTTGTTTTATGTTGTGTAATAATTCTTTAGTCTTTCCTCACTTTAGTTCTTTTTTCTTCAAAGGACCTACCTTTGACTTCAGAGTTTTGGTTTTTTTTGGTTGATTGACTTGACTAGTAGTGCTGTTGAATGTTTTCATTTCATCCATTACATTCTTTAGCATATCTGATTCTATTTTGTATTTTCTATCTGTTGAAAATTTCATCTTGTTTATTTTTTCCTTATTTCACTGAATTTATTTACCCACAGTTTTCATGCCATTGCCAGTGACCATGCATCATTTCTACCTGTCCTTCCCCATTGTTGGTACATTGCCAATTAGTCAATTTGGTTGTCACCTCTGTTGTCATTTCTGTTGTCACTTCCAGTCCAGGATTAATGTCCACCTCTCTGGACTTCGCATCTCCCCCATTTCTCTTGACACTCTTTCTGTAGTACTCTTTAACATTGGCCATCACATGTTCTGCAGTGAGAACTGACCTTGAATCTCAGCTCATCTGATTAAACTGGATTTTAGTGGGCTTGGTTGTATACTTCTACCCAGGCTTATATCACAGTAGAAAAGGGCCTGCAGAAAGCCGCTGGTGAAATGCTCTATAGTACCCTATTTCTTTTCCTTTTGTCATACCCTGTTTTTGTATCCTTGCCTGGGAAAGGTCTGCACCATACTGTGACCTTAAGGTCCCAGTAATGGACAGCAGCCAGCCATTCCCTCCAACTGAATTGCAACTCTGTTATATTGAAGTGCATCCCATACATTCATTCATAGATAAGATTGGATACATATTTATAGTAGGCTTGCCCTCTCCTTTAGTCTACATGTACTTCTACATGTACTTCACCAGCATTTCTTTGTGTTCAGGTTGCTGCTGTAGAGCAGAGGATTCAGAGGCACACTTTGAACAGAGTATTTGTGTACAACAGTCAAAGGCCAGGATTCCCAAGGCAGCTTCATCTTCCCGGAAGACCCACCCCTGTGAGATGTGTGGTCCCGTCTTGAGAGACATTTTCCACTTGGCTGAGAGCCAGAGAACTCAATATAGTCGGAAATTGTTGAGGTGTGGAGCATGTGCAAAGCAATTTTATTTCAGTGCAAACTTCCAATGCCACCAGGAGCAGCAAATGAAAGAGAAAATTTTCAGAGACAATGAGGAAAGGTCCTTTCCTGTGAAGAGCTGTGGATTCTCTGTGTCAGGGAAGCTCTTTACCAGCAGGGAGGTAGCAAAAGACTTCCTAGCCAGCTTGGGACATCTGCAGCAACAGGCCAGTGATTCCGGGGAGAAGCCAAATGAAATCACCCAGGGTGGGGCTTCTTTACAGAACAGAAAAAGTCAATACATCTATGGAGAATGCACGAAAACAAGTCCCACAGATACACTTGTTCAAGGCCAGGATATCCCCACTGGAGGACAGTATTTTGTTTGCAGTGAATGTGGGAAAATATTCAGGGACAAATCCTCTTTCATTGTGCACCACAGAAAAGGCCATCAAGAGTATGGTGAGTGTGGAACATCCCTTAGGCAGAGCTTAACCCTCAGTCAACATGAAAATATTCATACTGGGCCCAGGCAATACAAGTGCAGCAAATGTGGGAAATCCTTAAGCCAAAACTCTGTCCTCATTCATACCCAGAAATGGCACAGTGGAGAAAACAGTTATGTGTGCAGTGAATGTGAGAAATTTCTTAGCTATAGCTCAGTGTTAATTCCACACCAGAGGGTTCAAACTAGAGAAAGGCCTTATAAGTGTAGTGACTGTGCAAAATCTTTCACCTCTATTTCAGCCCTCCATTATCATCAAAGATCTCACACAGGAGAAAGGCCTTATAGGTGCAATGATTGTGGAAAGTCTTTTATCTCTAGGTCTGACCTTCGTTATCATCAGAGAGTTCATTCTGGAGAAAGGCCTCATGAGTGCAACGAATGTGGGAAATCATTTATCACTCGTACTGCTCTCCGTTACCACCAACGAGTTCACACTGGAGAAAGGCCTCACCAGTGCAGTGAGTGTGGTAAATCTTTTACCCGAAGAAATAACCTCATTATACACCTAAGAGCTCACTCAGGAGAAAGGCCTTATAAGTGCTCTGAGTGTGGTAAATCTTTTTCCTTTAGCTCCAGCCTCCGTTATCACCACAGGATTCACAATGAAGAAAGGCCTTATGAGTGTACTGAATGTGGGAAGTCTTTTAATAACAGATGGACACTCATTCGACACCAGAGAATTCACTCAGGAGAAAAGCCTTATGTATGCAGTAAATGTGGGAAATCCTTTACCTGTAGCTCCAACTTACGGTATCATCAGCGATGTCACCTTGGAGAAAGGCCGTATGAGTGCGGTGAATGTGAGAGATCTTTTACCACTAGCTCTGCCCTACGTTATCATCAGAGGATTCACACAGGAGAAAGGCCCTATGAGTGTACTGAATGTGGCAAGTGTTTTATTTCCAGGTCTGACTTCCATTATCATCAGAGGGTTCATTCTGGAGAAAGGCCTTATGTATGCACTGCATGTGGGAAATCATTTATCCGAAAAAATAACCTCATGTTACACCAGAGAGTTCACACAGGAGAAAGGCCTTACAAATGTAGTGAATGTGGGAAATGTTTCAATAATAGGTGGACAGTCATTCAACACCAGAGAATTCACACAGGAGAAAAGCCTTATGTGTGCAGTGAATGTGGGAAATCTTTCACGTGTAGCTCCACCCTCTGTTATCATCAGAGAGTTCATGCAGGAAAAAGGCCTTATGAGTGTAGTGAATGTAGGAAATCTTTCACATCTAGTTCCACTCTCCGTTATCATCAGAGAGTTCACACAGGAGAAAGGCCTTACGAGTGTAGTGAATGTGGGAAATCTTTTAGTTTTAGTGCCAGCCTTCGTTATCATCACAGAGTACACAGTGGAGAAAGGCCTTATGAGTGCAGTGAATGTGGGAAATCTTTTAAGGATCGATCACAATTCAATAAACATCAGAGAGCTCACAGTGGAGAAAGGCCTTATCAATGTAACGAATGTGGGAAATCCTTTAGCCAAAAATCATCCCTCTCAATACACCAGAGAATTCATAGTACAGATAGATCTTATGAGTGTAATACATGTGGGAAATCCTTTACCTCTGTCTCTGGACTTGATTATCATCGGAGAGTTCACCGGGGAGAAAAGCCTTATCATTGCAGTGAATGTGGGAAATCTTTTACCAATAGCTCCATTCTAGTTCGACATCAGAGAGTACACACAGGGGAACGACCTTATGTGTGCAGTGAGTGTGGAAAATCTTTTACCAGTAGTGCTACCCTCTCTTATCATCAGAGAGTTCATGCAGGGAAAAGACCTTATGAGTGCAGTGAATGTGGGAAATCTTTTACCTCCAGTTCTACCCTTCGTTATCATCAGAGAGTTCACACAGGAGATAGGCCTTATGAGTGTGCTGAATGTAGGAAATCTTTTATATCTAGCTCCAAACTCCGTTACCACCAGAGAGTTCACACTGGAGAAAGGCCTTATGAGTGCAGTGAATGTGGGAAATCCTTTAGAGATAGTTCCCAATTCAGTCAACACCGGAGAGGTCACACTGGAGAAAGGCCATATGTGTGCAAAGAATGTGGGAAATATTTTGTGCGAAAATCTACTCTCTCTCAACATCAAAGAATTCACACTACAGAAAAGCTATAGATATACTGGGATGTACAACTGCCTATTCAGTTCAAACATTAGAGAAACTGAGAAGCCATGTATCTGAATTGAATTTAATACATCTGAGCATACACAGTGGGGTTAGTCCCAAGTTCCAGTTACATGGTAAGCTTGTGAAAAGATCTTGTACTTTTTACCATGTCCAGGGCTCATTTCAGCTTTATGTCACTGCTAGTTTTGGGGGCTAAGGCCATTTCATCTGCCACATGGCAAGACCACACTGTGCAACATTCACCACCCGATGTATTCCCAGAAGCTGAATTGTTTTTCTCATGTATTGGAGAAAATTATGAATAACCTGTGCCCTTAGGGCTTCAGCATTTCCTCCATAGACATTGAACTACCATGGGCATAGACCTGGATCAGTGTTGTCTCAGAATATTTTGAGTTTAGCTGTGAGCTTGCAGAGAATGACTACCTTTTTTGAGACATGTTGGTCTCCTATAACTTGAGATTAATTTTTCCGGCATCCATGTCATGAATTTGAGAACTGCGTGTCACACATTGGTTTTTAAAGCCCCACTCTTTAAATCCTCTTTAATCTCTGACGGTCTACTTACTGTGTGGGATAGTTTATAAACACATTTGGTCTCTACAAGCATAAAGAGAACAACTTGTTAGGAATATCAAAATGTTCTGTGCCTAAGTAGAGACAGTATGATGTCAGAATACATAATTTTTCAGTATTCACCAAATCTGCTTTACCCACAGCCTCCTAGAAAAAACTTATGCTGTGGTAGTCATAGGAAGCCTTGGTGTGTGTAGGAATCTCAATGATGACCCTGAGTAGGGGTCAAGTTTGAGAACTTCATTTGCTTCTGAGAGTGGCACAATTTTTTCCCCTTAATCAGAGGAGTTTATCACAGGATAAGAGACATCATAGCATTGTTGAGGGTATCTTCCCCAGGTCTACAAAGAGCCATAAACCACAATTCATTGGACTGTGGAATCGGTACAGAAGTACTGGCATACTAGGGAGTGGAGAGTACTGCAGCAAGTTAGATGAAATGTGTGTCTTCTAAAAGTGCATCCAAAAATGTTTCTGACAGTGACTGTGCAGAATCAGTTTGTACACAATGTAGGACTTGCAGGCATGTTTATCTTGTGTAGCTGAAGCTGTTCAGAGGAACTAATAAACTGAAAGGTTTTGTGGACATTCCATAGCTTCCCAGTGAGGTTTGTCTTAAAGCTGTTACTAAACAAGCAAGAAAAGGAACAGGAAGGAGGACCCAGAGTCAGGGGATGAGGCTCTGGTGACCCGGGCGGCATTCTTGTTGACTCAGAAATGTTCTTCATCTTTTTTTTTCTACCACTGAGGTAATTGTGACATTGAGGCCTAAGGAGAGATAGTATAGTGAATATTCGGTTGCCAAATCTATTTTCCAAAAGGAGTAGGACAGACTTTCTCCTGGGCCAGTTTTTAAAACCTTAGTAAGGTATCATTTACATATGCTAGCCTACATGTACTTATAAGCTGTACAATTTGATGACCTTTGATATAGGTATAAACCTCTGGAAACTACCATTACAGTCCTGAAAATTACCATATCTGTCACAGTATGTTTACCTCATGTCCTTTCATAATCTTTCCATGCCCTTCCCTCTTCCTCAGGTGTCATAGGTTTACTTTCCATTATATTAGGTAGATATGTTTGCATTTTGATGGATTCATAGGATTGAAATCTTAGGCTATTTACTGTGTTATTTTTTTCCTTATGTGTCATATTACTTTCAGATAATGCCAATAATGCCACTACCTTTTTCTTTTCTAAGTGATATTTTTGGATATACTAAAATTTATTCACCTATTCATGGGAGTTACAGCTATTTCTTCACCTTGACTATTGAAAATAACTAGCATAAATACTTGAGTTCCTTACATGAATGTATGTGTCTTTTAGATCAAAGGTTAGCATGTAATGTCTGAGTCATGATACATGAATGTTTTACTTTTGAAGAAATGTAACATTTTTTTCCCCAAACTGTTGTGGGTTTTTTTGTTTCGTTTTGTTTTTTTGCATCTTAACATCAGTCCATGAGTTCCATTTCCTTCACATTCTCCAAATACTTCGTTTGGTCAATCATTTCAAGTTTTAGCCCTTTTAATAAGATTTTAGTGTTACCTCACTTTTGAATTACATTTTTGTAAGGATTCAAGATTAACATTTTTTCAGATAATCATTTGCTATCTGTATGTCTTTGGCAAAAAGTCTGCTCATATCTTTTTCTTATTGAACTTTGACTTTTTTAACAGGACAATGAAACAAGATGTATGTTGGAATTTTATTTGTGAGTAACAAAGGTAACACTACTTTGTGCAATTACTGTTTGAAATACTGAAAGAGTTTCCTACTTGCTTTCAATATTTTGTGCTCTTCATAATGCAGTGGACACTTGTGCTTCACTTATAAAATTTTAATCTGCATCATTAACATATTGTCAATCACATTCTTAAGTCCCGTCTTTGAGGAAGACAAAGCTTTGCTTCGTACTAGTCACCCATTTTCCTGGTTTGTCAGTGGGGATTGGTGGGTTGGAGCAGATGGGACAATACTGCATCAGGGTGGACTGGGCTTTACTTTGAGTCCCAGAGCCTGACAGAGAATGAAGAGGTCAGTGATCAGACTCCAAGTTCTGGTCCAGGCTCCCTGGGTATAACTCCTGGACCCCTGACCATGGCAAGCACCCAAAGGCAAACATCCCCCATCTCAGGTCTCAGTTTCCTTCTGTATAAAATGAGTAGGAGCTGCCTTGTCTCTGGTCCATTGGAAGATGTGAAAAGCTGAGGTGCATCTCTCCCTACACAGGACCTCCTGGGGCCAGGTGCCTTAACTTCCTGGGTACTCCGAGACTACTCAGCCCCCAGGTATGTGTCCAAAAGAAACAGGGCTCCTTAGAGCCATCTGATAGTGGTCAGTCCCCAGGAACCCACCTACAGGGACAGGGAGGAAGGCACTGCAGGGTTTGGAGATGTCAGTGTGGTTCCCCAACGGTAAATCTCTAAATTTCCCTGCTACTTGGTTTGCTGACTGATGTACGGGTGATAATGGTGTTTTCTTTGGCCCCTAAGAGAATCAATAAAACTTAAAAAACAGCACTGACCCATTTCAGAATTCCATAGTTGTGGTTTTTTTTGAGGTTGTGTATGACTACTATTCAAATTTTTACGCAAATGTTTCCTTTTCACAGTTCTCTTACTGCCCTTTATTTTTGGTATCATTAATCTACAATTACATGAAGAACATTATGTTTACTAGGCTCCCCCCTTCACCAAGTCCCCCCAACAAACCCCATTACAGTCACTGTCCATCAGCATAGTAAGATGCTATAGAATCACTACTTGTCTTCTCTGTGTTGCATAGCCCTCCCCATGCCCCTCCCATTACACATGCTAATCATAATGCCCCCTTTCTTTTTCCCCGCCCTTATCCCTTCCCACCCATCCTCCTCAGTTTCTTTCCCTTTGGTAACTGTTAGTCCATTCTCAGGTTCTGTGAGTCTGCTGCTGTTTTGTTCCTTCAGTTTTTCTTTGTTCTTATACTCCACATATGAGTGAAATCATTTGGTACTTGTCTCTCTCCACCTGGCTTATTTCACTGAGCATAATACCTTCTAGCTCCATCCATGTTGTTGCAAATGGTAGGATTTGTTTTCTTCTTATGGCTGAATAATATTCCATTGTGTATATGTACCACATCTTCTTTATCCATTCACCTACTGATGGACATTTAGGTTGCTTCCATTTCTTGGCTATTGTAAATAGTGCTGCGATAAACATAGGGGTGCATCTGTCTTTTTCAAGCTGGTCTGCCCTTAATTTTTATGTATTGGTTTTTAAAAATTGTATTAATATCATTCAATTTTATGGAGTGCCATATAAATGAATGTTTACTGTGAAATTTTACCTGATTCACATATGTATGATGTTATACTTTATTTTCTCCTCTGAATCACCCAGTCTATCACTGAAGCTGAGACCACACTCATCACTCTGTGGGTTATCACAGAAATATTTTGATTCAGTTTGGAATGTACCGGGAGATCTCTGATAACCTCTACTTGCCTTAACTGCTGAATTAATCCTCTTTAGACCTTGAAGCAAATTTGACTTGTGATGCTGAAGTGCAAAATGACTGATACTTTGAGGATACAGTATCGCACATACCAGATATTATTTTCACAAAGTTCAGTTTTGTTTTTTTAAGGCTCAATTTCTTTCCCAAAAATTCTGTGCAACTTCTACTTACTTATAAATTTAACCATTTATTTGATATGATGTAAACAACAGAAAACCACTTAGGGAACAAAAAGCATTCTTACTTCAATGTATATTCATTTGAATGCATGGGGAAGTATCTGAATATGTTTTTTTTTAAATCCAGTTCACATAAATGTTCCTGATTAAAATATGAGGTGAAGTAATTAAATACTGTATAACTCAGTATTCTACAGTCAGAATGTTTTTGAAACTTTAACACTTCTCAATCCAAAATAACACTGAATAGATAAGGTAAATTTTGACATAAAAATGAAATTATCTCTATATATTGTATAGTTACATATATATACAGACATATACATAACACACACACATATATATATACATAATATATTTGATAGTTCACAAAAACTTCCCGTTTTAAAATCTTGCCTAATGTCTTATGGCTTATATGTTTACTGAAGATATTAGAATCATTTTTTACATTGTACATTAGGTTTGTCATTATCTAAATTTTTTACTTATTTTCCTTGTACTATTATTTACACAAAAATCAAAAGTACATTTTATCGTTCTAAATTGGGGCCGTGCATTGTAATGACTAGCACACCTAAATTTGTTTAAAAAGAAAAATCATTTTTTATAATTGAGGATGTTTTCATGATTGTGTTTATTTGAATTAATTTTCTACTTGTTCTGTGTTTTCTTTTCTCAATTTGCAATCCATCTTAATATTGCATCAGCTACTTTCTCTACAGATTTCTGATCAGGATTAATACAAATATGCTCCTAAAAGCTCATAATATATAAATGTCAGTCACAGGTGTTCCCAGGCTGTGTACTGTGTGCCATTAATTCACTCTGCTTTTCTCTTCATAAATAAGATGAGTCAACTTACATTTATTATCCTTTAAAATGCCTATTATTAACCGCAAATGTTAGCATTTACCTTGAAATACATGAACTGAATTCTTTTTGTAATATTTTGACATATATAACTAGTATACCTAAAAATGGTTTCTTTTACATAAAACTGGTTTTTATAATTTCTACTACGTTTTTAGATTCTTTTAATGGTTACCTTTCAGTTTTGTTTCTCAAAATTTTATATGTCTCATTAGGAAAGCTCCTTTATGTTTTTAAATAGGAGAAAGCGTACCAGATTACATTTGAAGTTTTGCTTTCATGGCATGCCCATATTTAATATTTCACATGATTTTAAATGGATTCTCAGTTATAGAAATGTCAACTTTTAGTATGAATTTATATTTCTTAATCTGTTCTAAAATACAATTCATTATTATTTACCTAGTCCTGGAGCACTGAGTATTCCAGACATGTATCATCCATCCTCTAATCTGTATCACTTCTGATCTCCAGCAAAGACATCCAGCTTCTCAGGAAGCCATTCCAACTGAGACTCCTGCACCCCTACCCTTTGTTCCCACATTAAACAGAAGATACTGTGATTTCCTGAACACCCCTGGCTGTTTTACCTGAGCATCTGCACATCTTGGAACCAGTTCTGCATAGAACCCTCAAATGTCTGTTTATCTAGTTTGTGAGAAATGGAAATATATATATATATCAAGCCTGACCTTGAGATCACACTCTGCGCATGGGGTGTCTCCAGTGTGGCCAGACGCCAGGACTTGGGGAAAGGAATTTAGACTCCCAGAAAAACCATAATGTAGAAAACATTCAGCAGGGTTATGGGCCAGTGAGGTACTGGTACAGCCTCCATTTACCTGTGCGGGTTCCGTAAGTGCTTCTGCAGCCATGGGAAACTGTGCAAACAGGCAGGCCTTAGAAGAATGTGATTGTGACAGGGTTCAGTGGTCTCATGCCTCCCTGCACCCTTCCCTGGTCTGCAGGTGGGTGACAGACTGACTCCTAATAATCTCTGTGCCTCAGTGTCCCCTTACCAGTTTTGTGATCTTAAGCCAAGAGTCTACAACCTTGTGCCTTAAAATATATTCATGAACCCTCCTTCTCTCTGCCCTTTCATGAAACAGCCTTTTGGAAAGTTTTAAAATCCTAATGCAGATACATACCTACCTTGATCCAAACTCCATGGATTCTAGAAGCCTCAGAGTGTTCCTGAGCCAAGTTGGGCACGTTTGCCCACATGCATCAGAAAGCCAGTGAGAGAGACACTGCAAAGTTTTATTGTAAGCACAGCAGCCAAACAAGAAAATACGAGGTCAGCTTAACTTTGTCCCCCAAGCCTTGGGTAAAGGGAGCTTTTATGGGTAAGAGTAACTTTATTCATAAGGAAAGGGGAATGTTCAGGCACATTTGCATGATTGGGCCTGTGCTTGTTAGTGTACAGGTGTGTTAATCATTCTTGTTCATAGATAACACTTTCAAAATACTGGCAGATAAGCTCCTCCCTTGAGGAAATCCTAGTATGCTAATGAAGCAAAGGTTACTCTGGGTCTCTTAGGGTTAGTTCTGGGTCTTCCCTGGGAGCTGGCTCCATCTGGTTCCTCAATGAGGTCCCCCTCTTCATTCAGCAAGGCCCTTAGGGTCCCATATAAATGTCCCATTAAACAGTTCAAGAAAAAGTTTGTGTAACTTAATCCCTTGGGCATCAGTTTCTAAGGTAAAGGACATTCTCAGTCTGCTGTTCCAGCCTCAACTCCCCACATTTATTTCTGGCAGGCAGAAGGCAGACCTCAGGTCCTCAAATCTCTTGGTGGCTCCATGCCCATGTGGCATTTGCTGTCTTTGTGGATTTGGTAACACTGTGTGAGATGGAAT